TTGAACAGAAAGTTGAGTATGACTGGGTACCAACCTACTGCCAAAAATATTGTACGGTTGGACATGACTGTAGCAATATGAAGGGGTATGGGGAGCCACAAGATAGACCTCAGGGGTATGAACAACAAAAGTACCAAAGACCACCACAAAAGAAAGGTGGTCAGCTACAACATACTAAGATGCAGAAGCCTGTAGTTCAATGGGTAGCAAAGGAGCCAAGTAAACAAAATGAGGGGGGAAAAGGGAATCAAAGCCAACAGGAATATAATGATAAAGGGGAAAATGATAAAGAAGCATGGCAAAAAGCAAGTGGAAGAGGTTCTCATAGCATGCAGAGCAATCAACAACAAGTGGTTCTAAAAATTACAAATGGATTCACTCCTTTGAGGGGGGATCCAATGCTGGAACAAAACAGTTGGGCAGATAAAGTAGAAGAGCAGGAGAGGATGCAGGGGAATACAACGCAGGAGCCTCAAAAAATCACATCANAGGGGCTTCAACAAAGTGTAACAACAAAAAGAGATGAAGGAGTTTATAAAGGTGAATAAAGTGAATATGATTGCAGTAATAGAGCACAGAATAAAAGATGACTCGATTGAGAAAATCATTACAAAAGTAGCTGCTGGATGGAAATGGTATGCAAATAGCTCAGTGAATGGTAAAAGTAGACTGTGGTTGATGTGGGATCCTAACAAAATAATGTTCTCACAGCTGAAAGTGCACCAACAATTCATACATGGAATAGTGAAGAATAGAAGTGACTCTGTCCAGTTTGCTTTTATAGCTGTTTATGGACTACACACAATAACTAATAGAAGGGACCTGTGGAACAGCTTGAGAGAGCTGGAAGAACAAATGACAATACCTTGGCTAATCATGGGTGACTTCAATGCAGTTAAGGATATGGAAGATAGAATGAATGGTACTGAAGTACAGGTGAATGAAATAAAGGACTTCCGAGAATTTATGCTGGAATGTCAAATGACAGAACTAGTGACAGTAGGAAGGGGGTTTACATGGACAAACAACCATGTATATAGTAGAATAGATAGGGGGATAGTGAATGCAAAATGGATGCTAGAAAAGGCACCAGTGCAAGTGCAAGTATTAGATCCACAATTTTCAGACCACTCACCTTTGAGTATTGACTTGGGACAGGAAATTGACTGCAGAAGAAGACCATTCAAATTCTATAACTGTCTAGCTGAGCATGCAGAGTTTGAATCAGTAGTGCAGAATGGATGGAGATATAAGGGCAATAAGATGGAAGGTATAATGCAGAATTTAAAGAAGATAAAACATGGCCTGAAGAACTTAAATAGGCAGGAATATACAGGGATAACAAAGAAGGTTCAACAGAAGAGAGAAGATCTGGAAAATGTGCAAGCTCAAATGAGGCAGAGTAATCAGAGCAGGGATATGTTTGAAGCAGAGAAGGAAGCTAGAGAAGAACTGGAAAAATGGAGTATGATAGAGGAAGGGATTTATAAGCAAAAATCAAGGGTACAATGGCTCCAATTAGGGGATTCAAATACAGCATTCTTCTTTGCAAATATGAAGGGAAGAGCAACTCAAAATCACATCAAAATGATAAAAGATGAGGGAGGAAACTGGATAACTAATGAAGATGGAGTGGAACAGGAAGTCATTGGGTTTTATAAGAGGCTTTTGGGGGAATCAACTAGAAGTCTACCTGCCATTAACATCACTACTATGAAGGGAGGACCTGTACTTACAAGGAAACACCAGCTTGAACTAATAAAGCAATTTACAAGGGAGGATGTCTATGAAGCTCTGAAGGGGATTGATAACTCAAACGCACCAGGGGATGATGGGCTCAATGCCTATTTTTTCAAGAAGGCTTGGAAGGTAATTGGGCATGAGATCACAGAAGTTGTATTGGAATTCTTCAAAACCAGTAAAATGCATAAACCACTCAATACCACCCTTGTCACTCTTATCCCAAAAGTTAAAAACCCAGAATTTATCAAAAAGTATAGACCCATATCTTGCTGTAATGTTCTGTATAAGATTATATCTAAGATGATTACTAGTAGACTGCAGAAGGTGATGGATTTCCTGGTGGATGAAAGTCAAGCAGCCTTTGTACCAGGGAGAATCTTAAATGACAACATCTTCCTAGGACATGAATTGGTGAAAGGTTATGGTCGGAAAGGTATATCCCCAAGGTGTATGATCAAGATAGATGTGCAAAAGGCATATGATTCATTGGAGTGGGTCTTCTTAGAACAAGTACTGGCAGCAATGAACATACCAGACCAATTTATAAAATGGATAATGGCTTGTGTGTCTACAGTCTCCTATTCAATTGTGATAAATGGTAAGCCAACTACTCCATTTGATGCCAAGCGTGGGGTGAGACAAGGGGATCCCATATCCCCTTACCTGTTTGTTTTAGCTATGGAGTATCTGACAAGACTATTGAAGAACTTGCAGCACACACCAGACTTCAACTTCCATCCGAAATGTGAGAAACTCAATATCCTGCAGCTCAGTTTTGCAGATGATCTTCTACTATTTTGTAGAGGAGATCTCAAGTTAGCACAGATGTTAAATGAGTGTTTTCAACAGTTTTCCTCAGCATCAGGATTAGTTGCAAACCAAGGGAAAAGTTGCATCTATTTTGGAGGTGTGCCAGAACATGTGCAGCAGCAAATATTGGCAAGCTTGGGATTCTCCCTGGGTGAATTACCCTTCAGGTACTTAGGAGTACCACTGAGTGCTAAAAGACTGTCAGTTAACCAATGTCAGCCTTTACTGGACAGAATTCTAGCTAAAGTGCAAAGCTGGACAGCAAGATTTCTATCCTATGCAGGTAGACTACAAATGATTAAAAGTGTGTTACTATCTATACAATCATTCTGGACGCAAGTGTTTCCTTTGCCAAAGAAGATCCTAATGAAGATTGAAAGCATTTGCAAAAAGTTCTTATGGACAGGGGAGGTAGAGGGGAGCAAGAAGGCTTTGGTTGCATGGACACAACTTTGTTGGCCAAAAACAGCAGGAGGCTTGAACATTACAGACATAGTCACTTGGAACAAAGCAGCAATCCTGAAGCAGATGTGGAACCTATGCAATAAGAAGGACAGATTATGGATCAAGTGGATGCATATCTATTATATAAAGAAGGAGAAAACATGGAATGTGAAGGCCAATCAAGCAGCATGGACAACTCAAAAGATTCTAAAAGCTGGGAAGTATCTGATAGAAGCAAGAATCAATGTTGAAGAAGTAATGTCTAGGAAAGACTACTCAATAAGAGATGTATATAACAAGATGAGGGGTGAATTCACAAAGGTTAATTGGAGGAGATTAATTTGTAACAATTGTAGTAGTCCAAGATGGATGTTCATTATGTACATAGCTGTCCAAAACAGGTTATACACAAAGGACAGATTAATGAAATGGGGGAGTATCACAAGTGCAAATTGTGTCTTATGTGAAGCAGCTGATGAAAGCCACGACCACCTGTTCTTTATATGCAAGTATTCAAGCAGTGTGTGGGAGAAGGTATTGAACTGGGCAGGAATAGGAAGAAGAGCCAGGATATGGTCGGAAGAAATAAAATGGGCCAGTACATATGCAACAGGGAGGAAAGCAGATGCAACCATCTACAGAATGATCCTAGCTGGAGCTGTATATTATCTATGGCAAGAGAGGAACTGGAGAATTTTCAGAAAGAAGAAAAGGAAAGCTGAAGAATTAGTGAGAATGATCGTTCAAGACATACATTGCAGATTGGAGAAGAAGCTACAAGCACTCAATTTCTATCCGTAGTCTGAGCTTGATGTGTAGATAGTTGTTTAGGGAAGCAGTGATATAGGATGGGGCTGTATGTCCGTCCATATAGAGAGGGTTTTTGTAAAGATTAGTGCATGTATTGAGTTTTTTTCCCAGAAATAAAGATTAAATTTTATCAAAAAAAAAAATAAAAATTCAACGAGTGCTTATATATTAAGAGAGTGTCACTTTTTGGTACTACAACTAATTGAGTATAATCATCAATCAGTAAAACCTCTACTAATAAATTATCGTAGACTTGATAGATATAGGTAAATCTGTAAGTAATCTTCTTTTATACTAAGAGTATCATTTTTTCCTACTACTCCTTGTATTTTGAGTTTCCGAGAATTGGTTATTTGAGAGACCAAAAGAGATATTTCTGTTAGTAAAGGTTAAATGTATTTAGTTGATTGATAATTCAATGAAAATCTATCAATGACTCATGACTACATCTGCAATTGTTTGGAACTTGGAAGTAAAAGCGCAGGTGCCAAAAAAATCATCTTAAAAGGTGTGGTCTAATGATTAATAAAGTGAGTTTTCTAGTCTAGCAATTATTTAAGTGGGATTAAACTCACGAGAGATTAGGATTCAAACCTCCGGCTAAATTTTTCTTATTTGTCCAAATCTTGGTGGACAAAACTAAGTACTTCTGTTGGTTAAAATTAGTAGCAAATGCCCGATAAAATAATTAAATTACTACCTCAGAATTCAGATATTACCATTCTATACAAAAAAGAAGAATAAAATCTTGGGTGAATACATATATAGACACCTAAAGATGTCTTGCTTTTTTATTTAGACATTTCAATTAGCCATTGTTTCGATTGAACACGTATAATTGGGCCAGAAGTGTGCCAATCAAACACATTTTGCACTAACCTGGAAATACCTCAGGCGCGTGTTTGCAAGCATTCTTTACGTGAAATAATTAGCCAATTAAATCATTTCTTAGGTTCATCTTTCACACTAAAGTTATTAAACGAGCGCTTACAAATACGAGCTTGAGTATTTTCAAGCCAATGCGAATTGTGTCTGATTGGTACACCTTGGGTCTACTATAAGTGTTCAATCAAAACAAGATTTAGTGATATATATATAATCAAAGTCGTAATATCAGTTGGATTGGGTTTTCAATGGTCTAGAAAAATCAATACGGTATTTAGTAAATATGGCATAAAATAAGAAACAAATTGCACCGCGCAGGTAATATAAATATGGCATAAAAAAAGAACCAAATTGCACCATGCAGGTAATAGTCTGATTTCGGGCAAAAGGAAAAAGGTAATGAAGTCTGAGAATTCTCATTGCAAAATTGCTACAAGAAGCTAACTCTACCATTCAAGTTCAGCTCTACATACAAAAGGTTCAGAGAGGGAACTAGGAGTGCATCTCCTCAACACTACATTCATTTTTCTGCCGTGTTAAGTTAGACAATCCGTCGAGAAGAAACCGACGGAACCTCAGAATGTACAGTGGCTGCAACAGACTGCAAGGTTCCTGGAATGCCAAAACCAGCTATAGCTCGAGGGGTTTCTTCTGTTCAACCCTTGCTATGCAAGGGCAAACACAAAGTGAACATTCATCACTAGTCCCGGAAGTTTTACTTATTTGACTCGAAATCACCAGGAATGAACACGGGAAGTTGATGGGAGGCAGTATCCCTTTTGAACCTGGACTCACGAGGCAAATTAAACAGCAGCCTCTCTTGGCCATCTCTGGAACCAGAGCCCCTCTCATTTCTCAGTCCATCCTTAATTGGACCGCGCAAAAGTGGACCACCAAAGAATATTGACTCTCCAGTATATGTTAGCTTTTCTGACTGCTCGACTGGAGGCTTTGCAGGAGGCTGTGAAGGTTCTCGAGGGAGAGGGGCTGGCCTCTTGTCATTACTAGCAGATACAGCATTAGGATTTGATGATCCTCCTTGCATGGACGGCCTTGTACGAGCATCTGAAGCTGATACCGGAACAGACACATACCTTCCAGCTTCTTGGTCCCAAACAACAGATGTTCGTTTAACATCTCTGAGCAGAGAAGCTGCAGGGGCAGGAGCTGAAAGCAATAACGGATCGGTTGTACTATTCCTCTGCACGATCTTCTCATCAAATTCTGAAGAATGTAAGACTTGGTGGTTATGATTAGGGAGTGCAGCCCGAGAAGTTCGGGCCCTCTCCGGGACAATGGCAGCACTGAGATGGCCTAAGCTGTGAGCTTGTGGGAGAGGGCTTAGTGTGACTGATTCATGCACATGGCTCGGACTGCTAAAGCTACTGACACTGTGAGTTCCAGTTTCATACTCGTCCCGGCTACCTTGAGTAGGAGCAAGTGAATTCCTCAATTCATTTCTCATGTCCCTATTTCCTCCGGTATCAGCACTGATACTGCTTCTGACACTCATGTTCTCACTGGAGCTCAATTCAGGATCAAAACGACGGTTATCTATAGGGCGTAGAACAGATGAGGATGCTCTAGCTTTTGCTGCAGCTCTCATGGCTTCACTGGAATCCAATTTTGCAAGTTTCCATGCACTGATCTTAACAGGCCGCTTAGGTCCCTTGTTTCCCTTTTCAACAAAACCAGCTGCATCCGGATCAACTGTTGATGGGACCATTCCAGGCTCTAACTGAGGTGCAACTTCTTCCTGCTCATCAATTCAAAGACAAGTCAGAACATCAGAGTCCCACATTGGGTAAATACAGAACATCAGGCTCTGTATTTACCCGATGTGGGACACCGATACTACATTACATCAGATATAACTATTTAAGCTTAGTCATCGAGAGTAATTTGTTAAATGTATGGCACACAGAAAGTCCCAAAGTAACACAGTGCATAGGATTTTCGTATCAAAAAAATCTATTACCCATTTAAATGGATAGTGAAATGGCAATCAAAGCACCTAATGCACCCGTGTCGAAAGTGATGATGCATCCACCCAGCAGAGTAATATGAACTCTGGAAGCATAAAAATGCCTAATTTTGAAATTCTAGAAAGTTTGGAGTTTGCAGAAACCAAAAAAATACTACTTAATTTTTAGGTATATAATAATGATAAATGGGAGTTAGAGGCGGCAGCAACGAAGGTTGTGAGGCAACAAAGAGACAAACAACTTTTTCTATATATTGTAGTATCATACCAAAAAGAGAGAGCTACAGAAAGATTTTGGATCAATCATCCATAAGGTCAGTGTTATGTGATTTCGTTTGATCGGAATTCCCAAATTTAAACCTTTCTTTTTCATAAGCCTCATTCTTTATCAGAACCATTCAGGTCCAGGCAGGGTAATTCATTAATTAAAACCTATATTGCTTGGACTCTCAAGAAAATGCTGCAGCACCCGTATCGGATCCCCAAAAAAGCATTGCTTCTGGAGGATCCAACGCGCACCACGCAACATTTTTTAAGAGTTGGGGCAACATAGATTAAACTACTCAAGGAGAAACTTAGCCGCTATGGATTACTTTTATGATAAGAAATATAAATTTTAGTTAAAATTATGTGTTTTTTTTATCTTAAAGGACATAATTGTCACTCTTCGGGCCCTAGGTTCACTATTTCTAAGAGATGCTCCATGTAGACAACAGGAGTAGAGGTTTCAAAGAAGCAAACAAAAGAAGGATAAAAGCATCCTATTTGCCAACCAACGGAGACTTGAACTTTCAGTACTTAAAACTTTTTCAGTTGATACTAATAATACCTGATAATCAACAAACACCCTAGGAGGGGTGCACCATGCTCCTTTGTATTGCAGGCCCAAAGAACTTCCACCGCTGAAGCCAGTTGTAGCTGACCCTGATGGAGAGTATACAATGTTTGGCATTTCTTCATCTACAGATGCTCCCGCCGGTGCCTCGCTCATGGCCCTCATAGCTACGACGTACTCGTACGTTGTAATGCCCTGACAGCAAGGTAATTTTGAAAAAGAGAATCAGAATAAGTTTTCACTGCAGATCTTCGAAACTCTATAATGCTACTTTATATATGCTCCAGTTGTGGTTACAGATATAGGAATTTTAAGGCAAAATCTCAAATCTTGACATTGTCCCAAAAAATTCATTTTCCAATTCAAACTACAAAGAGGAAATCATCAAAAATCTACCTTTCTTATCAGTATCATGTGGAAAAAGAAAAGCTCGCCTAAAGGAACACAAGCAAGTAATGAAACTGCTGTACATACAGCCTGCATAAAAAAGTCAATATGCATCACAAATTATGAGCAGGCATTCTTTTCTCATTAAGCAGTCAGAATAGTGAGCTCAGTGCAAGTATATCTCATGTAAAAGTTACCACAACAGTTGCAAATGGAGCCAGGGAAAAACCATTCCCTAGTCTATCAACTATTTCAGCTTCCATATTCTTTTTGTGTACAAAGCATCGTACCATAACAGCAATTCCAACTCCAGCTTCAGTAACAAGCTGCAAAAAAGTGTGAGAGTGATTCACTGATGAAAACACAATCATTCTGTTGTAACTGATTTGCCTCAAACATACCCAGACCAAGCTGGTGGCCATCAGTGATATAAAGGTAACATAGTTTTTCCTCCCAACACAGTTGTTGAGCCACTGTCCATTCAATAAATATGGTTAGCTTCCTGGTAAAAATTATAAAAAAGTGGGTTCCGTAACAGAAATCAGAATAAGATGTACCATAGATGACTGAGATGTATACCCGACAATGGTGATCAAATCCATCCACACATTTATCACAGCTTCGACAATGTTTACTGAACTTGCGCACCTGCAGCACACCAAGCAGTCAGAGTTTATAGGGTGCTATGTCTACGTCGTCCACAAGCACATATGTAAAGTGGTCTACATATCCCGCAATGGGAATCTGCACTGAGTCACATGCCTAAGCCACAAAACTAGGACAGAAACAGAACTAGCATTATCTCGGAGATTTCTTGGTTATTAAAAAAAATGAAAAACTAGGACAGAAACAGAAGGAGCATAAAATGGCCATGTGCTGTTGAGTTTTTCTGCATACACGTGGATGTACTTACCCCGTCCATATTTACAAACTATCAAATCTCTCAATTTGTGCAGCAGATCATGTTGTGAAATAGTCTATGAAGAGTTAAAGTCAAGAGAATGTATGAAGCTATATGTTAAAATGTGTCCGGTTCAGAATAGGTAGGATGTAGAATATTATGTATTTACTTGTGAAAAATAATCACTTACCTCACCTTGCATACAATTATTTACAATAATGTAGCCTAAGACTCCTATTAGAGGAGCTCCTTTAGTACATACTCATTAAAGACAAGTTCTCCATTCTTCTTTATTTTCACAGTTCAATGCAAGAAAGACAATTCCCAGTCCATCTCCTGACTTGAAATCCCCATTCAACGTCATTGTCAATGATATGTTAAGTTGCACGCATAGATATAGTTTTCCCACATATTACATATGATATTAAGATATTGGCATAATAGCATTGTATCAACATAGTTCATCCATGACGTTAGGTTGTTTTCAATCTTATGCTGTTATACATGTGAATTTTAAAATGTGCATCCAAGCCTTTATCGACTTATGTAAATGTTTTCTCTTGTGGCTTATGAAACACATTAAGAGCAACTTTCCATTCATTACTTTCTGCAACTACGGTATCATGCAAGCTTCAAACTATGTCCATCTCAAATGATGAAAAGCACGTGAATCGTGATAAAGAGGGTGTTTGGCTAAGTTTATAAGCTGGGGTCAAATTGGCTTATAAACACTTTTTGGCTTATTGGCTTATAAGCACCTTTTGGCTTATCTACGCGTTTGGTAAACAGTAAACACCCAAAGTGCTTATAAGCTAAAGTCAGCCATAAGTCATAAGCTGGTCACCCCCAACTTATGGCTTTTCAGCTTATAAGCACTTTTAGTTTGACCAAAATTTTTACTAATTTATCCTTAATAATATTTTCTAATTCACAAAATACTTTTCCCAAAATAAATTTCTTGAGTTTCTCTTCATTCCATATTCATTGTTAATTCTTTTCTTACAAAGAAATTTTTTAATTTATAATCTTTTGAAAAAAAAAAATCAAGGGTATTTTAGTCATTTTGACAAAAGAATAGCTTTTCAGCACTTTTTAGTCAAACACATGAACTGCTTATTATCAGTTTCAGCTCTTCTATCCAAACACGTAAATGCTTATTTTAAAAATCAATTCCAACACTAAAAAAAACTTTTCAGCACTTCAAGCTTATCAGCTATTTACAATCAGCTAATCCGAACGGGCTCAAAATCATAAAATACAAAAAAATAAAAAATAGATTATCTACCTCAGCATTGCACAATGTGCAAAACAGAGCATCTTCACCTGCCACTTCCTCCTCAGCAGCTCCATCTGTTTTGCGGCAATCCTCATGTACAAATAAAAAGCAAAAGACTCCTCCAATCCTACAACAACAAGACTTTCTATTCAAAGAAACCACTTGCTTATCTAATCTCCCTGCTTCTAGTTGACCTTTTTTGATAGCGTTAGCAGCGCCAATGGAACTTCTTGAAGCTGACGACAGAGAAGAACGTGCATCATTACTATGTTCATCAAATTTCCCAGGAAGATCTCTTGCAGACAACCCATGATTTGAGTTGGTGTTATTCATTCGTCCAGAATCAAACTTATACATAATGCCTGGATCTGCAGGATTGATTGCAGTACTCCGAACATAAAGAATAAAAACAAGCAATGCCTGCAATATGACATAAGGATCAAGTAACCTTAGGTAAATTTACAAAATAACACTCCCTCAGTTCCATGATTTTAACCAATATTTGACAAGACATGGAGATTAAGAAGCTATTTTGATTTATAATATGGTAGTAATAGAATGAATTCTTTTTCAAAGTTCTTTTTTCCATTTTTAAAGTTTGTTTCATTGTAGAAACATCATATCACGTTTCATTTGAATTTGACCAAATAGTCAAATATTTTGGGGATGTCCAAAAACAGAGAGCTTGTCACATAGATTAGGACAAATTAGCATGCGAAAATAATGAATGAAGATCCAGAGACACGTAATAGAATCAGAGCAGGTTCTCCATGGTCGTCCCAACAATGTCCAGCAACAGTAGGATGAGAATAATAGCATTTAGCCAAATGATGAATGAAGATCCAGATACACATAATTGAAGTTCAGAAAAATGACCAACTAGACGATACTTTCCAAAGAGCCTTTCAAGACCAAATGACCAAGATTTTGTTTGTCTTTTTCTAAACTAACAGCTAAAGAAAGAAGATGCAAGACAAGCATATATAACAGGTACGTATAAAATTACTCGTATCACATACCACTGGTGAATAAACTGCGATTGAAGCATACTCCCAAATGCGCCCTCCGAGGAAAGGGGAGAAGAAAGCATAAAATGCGACTACTAACAAGCAAAATACAGTTATAGCAACAACCTGCAAAATCAAGAGTCCAATATTTAGGCCACATATTGTATAGGCACAACTAAAGTATTTTACACAACTAAGCCAAATTTAAAAGGCCATTGCCATTACATTCTGATAGCAAATCACTGACATTTACAATGGTTGCAAAAGAAAGAAAAACTGAGATCTGTAAACTAAAATTACCAAACAATGTCAGGATTATATGGTGAAGAACTAATTTTCCATTGTCACAAGTTTCCTGAATGTCAGAAACATGATGCATTTCTTTTTCTACTTAAAGAATGTGAATTACCTAAAGATTATCCTTAACTAATATTGACCATTTCCTGTCATTTAAATATTCCTAAATCCATTTCTTAATTTCCAACTGCTGGGAATTAACCTATCCGAAAAAAGATCATCGGTGCCAAGAGGTCGCCAAAATTGATAAGCTATTCGGCCATTTCTTCTTTATGAGGAAAACTTGCAAACTTTTGAAAAAGGAACCAAGATTCACATTACAAATTCCTAGTTATTCTCAAGTTAAACTTCGATAGCATCTTAATCCAAACAAACTCATCAAGGATTTGCATTTATACTTAATGATATCATTGTCCATTGGTGCATATGTAGGCTGATGTCCTACCAAACCATCTCAAACGTTTTATCCTCAATGAGTGCTACTTGCACCTGAACAACTGAACTCCTCAAATTTCACAAGTCACTTACCAGAAGTGTAAGTCACTACTATCTATGAGTAATGACTACTAATAGAGCAATCAGAAGGACAATAATTATCAAATGGGAAAGCAATTATCAAGAGAAATCAGACCTGAAAGGTGTGTGCTGGTAGCTGCCATCCATGTTTCCTCACCATTATCACACTTTCACTTCCACTCAACTCAAAGCAGTGAGGTAATTTTTCTCCCCTTTTCTCCAAAAACACCAATTAACCCACTTTTTTTTCTCCAAATATAAGGCAAGGAGTACAAATTTTCACTAGCAGTTCTTCATCAACCCTAACATTCTAGAATAACAAGTATAAAAAAGGTTCATTCACAAAAAGGGCAATAATACTTGAGGCAATACAAAAAATGGGAAAGAGGTTCGCAAAACACCCAAAAACTATAACCCACTTTTTTCTCCTCCTCCAAATATGAGTCAATTTAGAAGAAAATAAAGTAAAACATTGAAATAATAGAAACTTTGCCACCTTTCTGGTTCAAACTTTCAGCAATTGTTCTTCACATTCAAAATAAGACAAAAGGGACAAAACAAAGGGACAGAAGATGGGTAAAGAGTTGACTGTAAAGAGGGCTATGTTTTTGTTGTTCAATGGAAAAGAGTGGTTATGGAGTGGGAGAATTGGGGAAAACACACACACACACACAGAGTAATAAGGGTTAAAGAGGAAAAAGAGAGTGATTGAAGGGAAGGTGCCTTTCTTGGTGGAAAGATAGTGGAATTGTACATTAATTTGGGGGCTGTTGTGAATGGGACCCACTGCTCTTAATTCTTCTTTTTTGGTGTCTTCCTTTCTACTGTACTATCTTTTGTGTCTACAACTGAATGAAGTCACATATGTGCTGACTTAACATTCTTTTTAAATTAAGGTTTCTAATTCTTTTATAAGGATTTAAGTGGCATTTGGACATATGAATTGTAAAATTTCAAAAGAAAGTGAAATTTTTTTTAAGTAAAAATGGTATTTAAAAATTAGAGTTATGTTTGGACATAAATATGATTTGGGATTGTTTTTGAAGTTTTGTAAGTGATCTGATTGAAAATTTTGAAAAATACCTTTTAGGAGTTTTTAAAATTTCGAAAAATTCCAAAATGAATCTTCAAGTGAAAGTTGGAAATTTTATGAACAAACGCTGATTTCGAAAAAAAAGAAAAATTTCTTATGTCCAAACGGGCTTAAAGTTACTCTTTCCATACCATTTATAAGACACACTTCCCTTTTAGTCGGTTCAAAAAAATAATATTTTGATTATAATTTAATTTTAAAATGTTCATTATAAACCTTAGTCACTCAAATATCTCTGGCTTATTTTAGATCACAAATTTCAAAAGTCTTTCTTTCTTAAACTGTACGTCCAGTTAAATACTAGTATCACATAATCGGAACAGAGAGAATATACATTTTGATAGTGTAAAAACTTTTACAGTATGAATGTATTTTAATATGTTATAAAGATTGCTTCCTATTTTGTAATACACTGTATTTTTATATAATTCAGAATACGTCAATTTGGGGAGATGAGCATTAAACTGATTTTAAATAACAAAAGAGAATCTTAGTGACTAGGAGCATGGGAAAAGGTAAAACAAAAAGAAAAGAAGAAGAAAGCCAAGCTGTAGTACATGTTTCCTATTTAGTCCACCCTCAATTTACAATTTGATAATAGGTGCTAAACCGATCCAGAGTGAAAGTCAATAATTTAGCCAATAGAAAAAAATATTTAAATTATATACAGTGACACTAAAAAATATCTGCATACTATTAATAAATTTTAATGTGTGATAGTAGATACTTACCATTTTTGTTAGATTATCAATTTATTTTTCATCAAGAGTTTTACGTGTTATTTTTCCTAATAAGTAACTTAATTGTGTAAATATTTTTTACATCGTAAATGCATAGAAATTAAACTTACAAAAAAAAAAGTGATTCTCTCTTTCTGTTTATTTTACCATTCGTATTAAAAACAAATTACCTATATCAGGATAGTGGCTAGAGGTGAAGGAATTTCATTCACCTCAAAGCACTCTTTTTGGTGGTGAAAGAGTTATTCTCCCTAAGCTCATTTAATATGACAGAACTTTTCGTTAGGTAGTTAAAAATCCATTTTCAACTACACCTTTTGAAACATTTTTAAAATGTTTGTTATCAGAAAATATTGATGTATATAATTTTATATAATTTTAAATACGTAATTTATTTCAAAAAAAAAAAAAATTAAAGAATTGATGTCTTGATTTCACTTGAATATAAATGTTTTGACTCGTTTCCGAACCTCACTCTTTTTGTAACAAGGGAATGAAACACATGGAAGAATACAGTCCTTACCCAAAACATACATTAACTTGAGGGATGCTGATATTTTCTATTAATGTTATAATATGAAAAAGAGCTAACTTAAGCATATGGGTAAAAGTGGCATCCAATTTGATGCAAGCTGTTCTCTCCTACAATCATAATACAAGAAAATAAAATCCTTTCTGAATGCTTTTATGGACTCTCGTCCTCATGGAATATACGCCTCAACTTTGTCATTATGATTGGTCATAATTTGCTAAGAATAATGCAGTTGCCAGAATTGTTGACTGTGATAGGATATTATTATCCTTAATTCAAACAATTGACCTCTTCTTTAATTTGCACCACAAGCCAGTCTTCGTATGAATAGTTGCTCCGGTAACTAGTTCTACAGACTCAGGAGATCCTCTCAGCTCTATATCAAACTTCTGCAGCAACATAGCCAATGCTATTGTTGATTCCATAAGTGCAAACTGGTCACCAACACATTTTCTTGGTCCCCCACCAAAAGGCAAGAAAGCAAAGTCTGATATAATCTGATCATGAGAACGATAAACCACATTGGTAAAAACAAAGAAACTGGAAATGGATCTGCTGTAAAAATAGCTGAGAAACAGAATGGCACCTCATTTGGGTATAATGCTCCAGGACTTCTAGATGGATCAAAACCTGCCCACCCTTCAATGGAACTTTCCTTTGGTACTAGGAACCTCTCAGGTTCAAATTCATCAGGTTTGTCCCAAAAATATGGTGATCTATGAAGATTATATACCTGCATATATGGATGTGCTCAAGAGTAAATTGAATTCATCTATATTGCCAACCACTAGTTCAAGTTGTAAAGACTCAAGAACACAGTAGTATAGAAACTCATTAATTAGAGAAAAATATCAAAGTAAAGGTAAAGAATTGCAGACTGACAGATAGGAAAACATCAGTGCCAGCTGGAATTTCGTATCCATCCTTGTCACCATTATAGCCCCCTGTAGAGTTGATAACAATAGGGTGGGAAAGTTTAACCACAATGATCATACTCTATTCACAGGGTTTTGACCCGTTGATAAAAAATCAAAACAAGTGGAAAAACATGCCAGAGAAAATAACTGCTTGCAAATGGAAAGAGAGCCACTTATCCAATACAACAAAAAAATAAAAAAAAGGATGAAGGAAAGAGAGCCTATAATCAAAACTAAGAGATAATCAAATCAGCAATGGGGATCTTACCGGGTAGTTTATCTGATTTAAGGGAGCGTCTAATAAGTAGCGGAGGTTGTGGATACAAGCGCAGAGATTCCACAACAATAAGCCGCAAATATCTGATAGCATGGAAATATGATATAGCATCAAGAAGCATTACAGGTCATGCAAAAGAAATCCTAAAATTTTCTGCATCCAAACTGATAGGTAATCTTTAAGAACTTCATCTAACTGCTAACAGTACTATATCAGCAGTCCGTCTTTTCAATTCAGCTGTATATCAAGCCTTCGTTTGCCTTTCTATGATTTTAGTAATTACTTCATTCCACATGATTTTACCTTCTTCTTCCTCTATTTTCCAGGTGAATTATTGTTAATGTTTTCAGCTGTACAGCCATGTCTTCCTCATAAGGTCTAACCAACATAACTCTATTTAGTCTCTATAATCACTGTTTTAACTATTAGCCAGACATTCTTCATTCCTTTCCTTATTTTCAGATTGCACATCATCCATTGTGACATTCTTACGTAATGTATTACTTAATTCAAGAGAGCAGCAAAATTAGATAATTTCATATGGTTCTGTTGCCTCATTTGATACCAAAGCAATTGTTTGTTACTTTGACATCTCAATATAGATAACAAAAACATACCTACAACTTAAGAAAATATTTCATCTTTAAACTAAGGAAAGAGTAAGCATACCACCTATATTAACAAGAAGCATAGTCCCACGAAGGGGAAGTACAGAGGTTTACATTTTGAATGCAGACGCCAAAAGAAGTGATTGCTCCTTGTACAGGAAGCAGTATCGTAAGCTCGATAACTTACTCTAATTTTTTAAGAGACTCAAAGGTTGTCCTTCCTTGACCAAGCACCGCATCAATCTCTGACTGCGCTTTCTTCATTTTGACTGGATGCTTCAGGATAATTTATCAAAGTGACATTAGCCACAATGCCCATGGTCCACTTTTTAGGAATTTGGGGTAGAAGGAATCGACTTAGGAAGATCCATTAAAATTGAAGCAAAAAAATTGGGAAGTGGCAAATAAGGGAATGAACAAGTACATTTTACGTAAGGGACTTGTAAATTCCCTGTGCAAACTAGTTTACGTAAAATTCAAACATCTACAACCTTTAGTGTGACAAATTCTTGTTTATGTATTTCATTTTTTGCAACAGTATAAAACATTTTTAATTTGGGTTGTAATGAACCATACTTGTGCTAGAAGGAAAACAGCCCACGTAAGAACAGCAGCAGTTGTTTCATGTCCAGCAATCAGCATCGTCATCAAGTCATCTCTTAGCTGTCCAAAGAAATTAGTGACAGGGCTGAGATAGATATGTACAGTAAACTACTAACATTCCATGAATTTTGGTCCACAAAAGAGATCCCATGAATACTCTCATGCACTTCTATTATGTTATTGAGGAATCAATCCTACTTTTATAAATAAAATATACATAAATTTGGTGATTGTGACAATTTGCTCTCACTTTATGACCAAAAAACTTATAGAAAGGGAATCAGATATTTTACCTGACGATCATCAACATCCACACCCCTCATATCAACTAAAAACCGCAAAAGACTTGCATCCTGCAAACTTTAGAAGTTACAATGCCAAGACTCACTGATCTGGATTTTGCAACGCTGTGTAAAAAATTTTACACTACAGCATACCACCCAAAAGTAAAATAATTAGAAGATGAAGAGGAAAAAGAAACAAAAACCTTAAGATTTAAGTAATCCCTTTGCTGTAGTTTCTCGACATCTGCTTCCTGCGACAGAATTCAACAAGAATTAAGCCAAGACAGGATAAAACAAGAATTAAGCTAAGACAGAATATAAAAAACATTAAGCTAAGACAGAATACAACAAAGAATTAAGCTAACATGCAGTATAACTCTTAACTTTAAAAATATCTGCGGAGGTCCTTTATTTGTTTATTTTTTCTCAAGGTAATTCATTTCACATCTACAGCTACAGAGAATGGGAGGCTATTCCAATCTTTGCAAAAAATCTACTGCTGCGCATTATCCAAAAAAATAAGGTTTTCGCCTCACAAGCAAATTAAGAAAGAAGATATCAGACAAACTAAGTGTCACGCTCAGCTAGTTTCCTTGTTATTTATGTGCCTGCTTGCTGGTTGATGGTTAGTTGTTTAAGTGGACTGCACCTTTTCATCCAGTCCAGTCATATATACAAAACATTTTAATGACATTAGTTAATCATGTGTGCATAGGAGTTAGTTTCTTATTTTAGTTTTTCTTTCTCCTTCATATTCATCAACCACTCTTGACTAAAATATAACAGTAGAGTTAAACAAAATTTTCATTATTATATAGAATAATGATTGTTTTGAATATCACCTATATTCTTCTTAAACTCTGTTCATCTTTTTGTACTTTTTCCCTTATGGCTAGAAGGGGGAGGGGTGACTATGTCCGGCTGTCTGGGAAATTTAAACATTATCAGAAAGTAGCATAGTTCTTTCCGATAACAATCACTCAATCAACTAAGCCACAATCTAATTTAGTTGGGGTCAACTATATTAATCCTGTGTCCATTCTGCTCTATTCAGGTCCATTTTGTTTCAGTATTATATATTTTGTTTTTAAGGTTAATTGGGGGTCTTCAAAACTAAAGAGTCCAAAACTCATATTTACCCGTACACGAGCATGCGAGTCACTAAACAAATTAAAAGGATTCTTGACTAACATCAATTAACAATGTAACAAAACAATGTTGCTATGCACCCAAAGATATGCCTGACTATTTCACTTGCAGAATTTATTTTAACAATGCAAGTGTTATTGGCTTGTGATATACGATAATAATCCTAAAGCATACAGATGATCAAACAGGCTTGGCGTAGCATGAATATCAAACCATACTAATATATGGAAGTACAATCTGATGAGTGGTAAGGTGCATGTTGTGGAATAAACCAATTATCAACAAGGCATTAAATCGAGTAAATAAGTCCAAAGGAAGCTTCTATTATCGACAGTTGTCTACAAAATGTGAAATTTCTAAATGCTTAGATAATGGCAGTGTTCATCCTCTCACCTCCCTGGTCTCTTTTGCATTTTGTATAAGTCCATCAAGGCAGTCATTGATGACCTTCAGATCATTCTGGAACTTTCGCTGCCGAGGAACTAGCCATCTTGCCAGAGGAATTTTCCAATAGGGGATGTAGAAAGTAGAACGATGCTCAGCTTCGAAAAGAGTACCATATACTGCCTGCAAATTTCATGAAAAAAGAAAAACTCTCAGTTTTTCATATGGAGGAAGAAGGTGAGAAAGGGGTGGGGAAAAACATGGAATGCTAATAATAGTCTTAATGATTCAGCATATTGAGAAAGTAAAGGTAGCATCTTCATAAAACCAACAAATACAGTTACATAGTCAGACCTGAATAACTGGAGACTCTTTAGTGATGGAACCAAAGTCATAATTGAAAACACCAAGCCCTATAATATCTAGTGCTAAATTTGAGAATTCTGCCTCGAGATCCAACTCAATTGCTTTCCCTCCTCGTGACTCTTCTTGTTCAAGAAGCTTATCAAATTTCAACACAGTTCTATCAGCACAGTCAGTGAACAATCTAGCCATAGCTTCCAGGTATGATGAGTGGAATCCAGGAGCAATAACTGTCAATCACATTCACAGGAGAGCTAATCAAAATATTTGAAGTGTGCATATGTCTTAAGTACGTGAATCCACACATTTGTATGCATACATGTACATATAGATAGAGAAGTACAAAGGAAAAAGGAAAATGTATGCACATATGACTGATCACAAATGCTTAGATTAATTTGTCTCAGAACTCCTTTACCTCGAAATATGGAGTCAAAGAAAAAGGCATAAATTACCGAGATGAACCTTTTTCTCTTTCGCTACACATCATTTTCTTGCAAAGTAGGGAACTTAAGTCTCTCTTTTTTGTTTTTGCCTTTTTTATTTATGTCATCTTTTTCTTGTTTTTTGTTTGCATTAAGGTGGGAGGAGGGGGAGTCTAAGTCTGCTAAATGCCACCAGGCCTTGTAATCGATAGGATTGTTTGCTTGTAGAGAACTGAAGCAGAACAGGACTCATCTCTCAAATTTATTATTGGTTGGAGCATCCTCCTCTGTAAGACCTTCATTGGTGGCATTCTCATCTATTAGTCATTTTTCAATCTCATTTGACTAGTGATGAATATCATGATGATACTTTTGTGTTTCTGGAACACTGGAACAAATCACTGTCTAACTTAGAATCGTAAAGGAAAGCTGAAAGCAGCGGTCCCACCCCTAATAACGAAAAGGCTATTAGATGACTTTGATGTCAGATATCATTCAAATTATCCGGTTACAAAGGCATTGCACTTCTCTTGCATAACCAATTTATCACAATTGGGAACCATTCTATTTGACCATTCAGAGAACAGGTATCATACGATATAAGAAACCACTATTCTTAATCATGGAAAAGTCCAGTTGTGGTCAAGAATGACCATCAAATCAATAAGCATCATGTTTTTAATGCAACGGGTACTGATCACGAAGAAAACAATGAATCACAGTCCAACTTGACCACATTAACCGATATGTGCATCAATAATTTCTACTGCAGGATTATTGGCAACACTTAGCAGATTTTATGCTGAAAAAAAGTGGACAGAACCAGGGCCAACCCCATAAGAGGACATGCTTAAATTACCTCTTCTCCTCTGTTTCCAAGTATCAAGGTCAGCAGGTATCAGCCCTTTTCCCATGATTGGTTCCAAGATTTCAGCAAGGACCCCCTGGTTAGAAATAAGAAGACTCGGATTACAACATAAAATAGGTAAGCTGTCTGAAATTCTTGCTATTGCCACTAAAAAGAAAATTATGCCAGTATATGCTTTAAATTCTATCAGCAAAATGCAGGTATCAACAAGACTTCCCTTTCTAACTAACAATTTTTTTCTACCTAACAATTAAAAAGAAAAAAAGAAAGGTCATCAACAAGTTCTTAAATAACCATTGCTTTTCTTTAAAACAAAAAAGGCCTGGAATTACTATGGCTTAAAGTTGATAGAAGATAATGGACATACATGCAATAAAAAAGAAAATGTAAATATGTAATATCAAGGTCAGCTTGAGTTCTTGTATACGGTAACTTTCTCCAAGGAACCAAGATAATTAAATTGGATGCCCCCTATAACAAAGTAACAACCTATTGAGAGCCATGGAGCAATTACTAGTCGTCCAAAGGTTCCACTAATACTCGATTTTTCATATTGATTTAAAGATAAAGCCAAATCTAATAAGCAATTCAGATAGTTAACTTTTAATCAGATCTTAACTCCCACATAGGCCAATTGCATCACTTCTATGCAGTAGAAGGGGTCAATTGGTTTTTTGGCTCTTTACAAATGTATTTTTAGTTTTATGACCCTATCTCTTTTTTTACACATGGGAGATTTACTTTTACACGTAAGAGAGTGTCTTTTACACAAAGATTTAAAAAGGTCATTTTCTTAAATTCAAAATTGTAAAGGGGCATGATGTACAAATAGCACCAGTAGAAGCAGTAAAATGCAATTTAAAGAATATAAGAAAACTATCAATTATATATTTATATAAGAAGTAAGATGATGTGAAAGCCAACAGGCAACAGCTGATAAGCAGAGACAAGTTAAGATATGAGCACATACAAGTGCAGGCATGACCTTAGATATGTTAAAGAATGAGCAAAAGAGTTACAAAGAACAAAAGGGTAGGAGGTTTTCTGGGGGGAGAGAGAGAGAGAGAGAGAGAGAGAGAGAGAGAGAGAGAGAGAGAGAGAGAGAGAGAGAGAGAGAGAGAGAGAGAGAGCGGCGGTGAAATTTTATATTTGGCCATTCAGCACAAACAGTGGGCAAATAGCCGTTACGCGTCTCCATCACACCGGATTGCTCCTCCTTAAGTGGGAGGATAGGCGCATTGGATACATTATAATAAATAAATGGGAACCAAAAAGAAAAAGAATAATATATTATTTCAATTTTCAGTTAAAGAATCTTTTCCTAACTGTGCGTGTACACAAGTTGAAGTTAAAGAGTGACCAGTACCAAGAATTTGAATTTGCCGCCCTAAAAATAGTGAAATAACTTAACTCATATGATAAAAGAAAAAATCAAAGGAATTCAGGTATAGGTATTCAATAAAATTAAATTGTGGGTTCTTTTCACTGGCTATTTCCCTCCACTTCTCTGCCTTCTCTTCAGTTCCGTATTCTATCCATACAATTCACAAATTCACAACATAGCTGGTTTTGAGGTGGGAAATGGCACATGGGTCCTTTAGCAGCAGCACATGTCTTGTTTGAATCGACGGAATAATTTGTTGTTCCTCAAGATTCTGCATTTCCCTTTCTTCAAGTCTTACTCTATCTTTCTACCCCTAAAACGGCTTCAATCAGGCTACTCTCTTCTCACTTTCACACCTTCTTTAGAAACAGTGAAAATGATGAGAACTAACTTATGAATTCAATATTTTTAGTCAAGATGGAATCGAGTACTACTGTCTCCCCTTCTCTGAACATTACTTTAAATACTTACTCCCCGTTTCAATTAAGTGATTAGTTGAATTAGCACGTGCTTAAAAAAAAACGAAGAATCATCTTAAACATGACATAACCATTTGTGTCGCTATACAAAGTAATTCATTAGATTTGTTCCAAATATAGGAAACATGACATTATTGTTGGACAGAATTTGAGGATTCAAATAGTAATCCTCTTAATCTTTTTATTAGTATTTAGTGATTATTTTTGCGGGACATATTTTTTGCTGAATTTGAAGGATTATTATGAAATCAGATGGCATGTCCACAAGCATCAGATAAACCAAAAACAAAGATGAATTATATTGATAAAGCTAGGCAACCTCCTCACTATATGCTGTTGAGTGGGGGAAGGCATTGGTCCAATTGGCCTATTTGGAAGCGCAGTCGTCTGATCCTTTTGACGCCATTATCTTCTCATTTATGTTGGTTCATAAAGGTAAGCCTTTAGTATATAATGCTCTCTTATCCCTGCATTCATTTGAGCAAAAGCACACGGATTTCATTGTCTGTTTCTTTTATTTCTGTTCTTTACAATGGTCAGAGGGCACCAGGATACTGTTTGATGATATCTCTCTGCGAGTTTGGTGGTTTGTAAAGCTTTATCAATGAAAGAAAAATATTTCAAATTTCTAGAAAATTGAGAAAATATAAGACATAAATATCAAGGAGGAAAGGAGACTGATAATTTTCATTTATGTTTTATGTCTACGCCAACAGGATTACTTTTATTGTTACCACTTGTTAAGAAATGAATTAGTTACTCAGAACAAAGGCCCAACATGTGTTTAATCTTTCCTCATACTAAATAATATGGCAATCAAGAACTTGGCATTTGATATGTTGAGTACTTTATTCACATCATGTGCCTAATCTTTTTAAGTAGAAAAAGATGAATTTGTGTTTCCACTAGAAACTATCTAAACAATACCATAGGACTTTTCTAGCATTTTTGTCGCCCCTTTTTATCTTTGTGAAATTTAATTTCTTTCCTTCTTTTGATTGAGCTTTACAGTATGGGAATCAGTCTATAAAACTTGCTTTGGACCAAAGGCATTCGTTGTTGTATCAGATCCATTGTTTGCTAGGGTACAGTTCTTCGCGAGAATTGCATTTTCTTATGACAGGTTTTGCGTACTATAACT